AGTGATACGTTTGATCAGCTCTCAAATAACACAAAATGGAGGGAGGCATTTCTAACTTGGAAGAAAGAATTTCTGTGAACTAGGTAAAAAGATCCCTAACCTTAAAGGGATCCTAGGAAGGTGATTGACCTAAACAGTGTAACTTTTCCACTCTAGGTATGAGCTTCCTTTTCAGTCCCGTTCAGCAACTCAGCAAACATTTAGTGACTGGGCAGGCAAGGCGTTCGGCTAGGTACTAAGGATGGCTGTGAAGAGAGTAACATAATCTCCCTCTTAGGAATTGTATAGCCTAGTGGAGGAGAGAGATCTATTTTTAATAGAAAAAAAGAATTTTCAACATTATTTCTTTTCTAGGATAAAAGCAACTTTCTCCTAGTCTTGGATGCCAAGAACTTTGAAGAACTGGGCCGAGCAGAGGTGCCTGTGCAAATGCCTTATGGGTTTCATGGCACCTTCATAGCCACCTAAGAGAAGAACTGGGAGGTCTGGGGACCAGGTTTAAGATGAATGTGCTCTGTACAAAAAGAGACTGAAAAGGGAACCTTACTCTCCAAACCTCAGACATCTGGTTTTTACATTATTATATATAAAAAAAGATTTCAATTGATAATTATGCTTTTATATTTTCTTAGGGCTCTTCCTTGAAAATACTGAGCAAGTGTTGATACCACTTTTTGAAGAGAGTTTTACATTTGTGTTTAGTTGATATATATATCTCTCTCAGTAACAAGAATGCATGAAAGAAAAACTAGAAGTAGGTCATTACCACCATCAGAGAGGTAAATGACAGAGACTCTCACAGTGGAGAGAAGAAATCTGAATAATTGTAGGTAGTAGAATATGAATATAGATCTGAAAAGCACTGGGTTTTTTCATCATGGCCTGCCTGTTACCACATCTCTGGGCAGTGTTGATCAAGAGGACGAGAAGCCAGCCATGTCACCCTGGTGGCTTCTTTTAGACCGGCTGTTTCTCTGCAGTCCACAGCAGATGCCACTGCAGTTGGACCACCCTGCCCCTAGTTTGGCCTTGGTACTGTCTGGAAATGTTACAGGATTCCAGGGCAGGAGAAAAAGGGGAAACTGAGACAGGAAGATTAGGACAAGGCCAAACATTGTAATTTGCAACTGGCCTGCAAGTGACAAACCAGTGTCTTTCCCAGGATACTCTTGAAAGCGGATAATCAGAACCTCCCTGCTGAGAGAATGAAGAAAGGGAGGGGAAAAGGGAAAGGAGAAAAGGGCACTTTTACTCCCTAAGCAAAGTCAGCAGCCTCGGGCCTCAGCAAGATGAAGTTGCCAGGATCCTGGGAAGACCACAACAAGAACACCTCGAGACTTAACCTATACCAAGACACTCCGCAAAAGAATCTCCTGAAACCTACAGACAGGAGGTCTATTACTCCTCCAACTTGCTCCAGACACTCTCGTTTCTGTATTACCGGGAAAGCCCCTCTGTGCTCCAAGCCTGATGAGATAGATTTGCTTGCTTTGCTTTGCTTTGCTTTTTCAATAAAGGTGCATGTGTTCACCGCTTTAATAAATTGTTTTTTTCACAATGCAGTCAAGGTCTCTTGTATAAACTCATTTATATGAGAAGACAAGGTTCGAGGTTGGGGACAGCCCTCTCTCCCCCACTAGCTCAGGGGGATGTCCTGTCTGATAACACCTTTCTGGTGTCTGTGTGAGGTGCTAAAGTCAAGCATTTCTTCTAATCTCCAGGTGTCTTGTTCTTCAGAGATTAACGAAAAGTCATTAGTTCTTCATTTATTTGGGCAACAGGTGGTACTATTTCTTTTCTAGAATAAAAGCAACTTTCTCCTAGTCTTGGATGCCAAGAACTTTGAAGAACTGGGCCGAGCAGAGGTGCCTGTGCAAATGCCTTATGGGTTTCATGGCACCTTCATAGCCACCTAAGAGAAGAACCGGGAGGTCTGGGGACCAGGTTTAAGATGAATGTGCTCTGTACAAAAAGAGACTGAAAAGGGAACCTTACTCTCCAAACCTCATTAGTTCTTCATTTATTTGGGTATTTATATAGAGACCATTTAATCCCCACATTTCTTTTTCTTTCTTTCTTTTTTAAAAAAATATACTTTATTGATTTTTAACAGAGAGGAAGGAAGAGAGATAGAGAGCTAGAAACGTCGATGAGAGAGAAACATCGGTCAGCTGCCTCTTGCACACACCCCCTCCCCCCCACCGGGGATGTGCTCACAACCAATGTACATGCCTTTGACCGGAATTGAACCTGGGACCTTTCAGTCCGCAGACCGATGCTCTACCATTGAGCCAAACCGGCTTCAGCTAATCCCCACATTTCTAAGCCCAACCAGTTTTTTTACTAATAGCCCAAATCAGCCTAGGTTTGTCACTGAAGCCACACTCTTGCCGACATCTTCTAAGTTCCTTTCCTTCAGTCACACTCCTTCCCTCCGCTGAATTCCAGTCCTGGGCCAGCTAAACCTCTCATGCTCTCTCTGCCTGGTGAACATCGCTGGAAAAGACCCCCCAAACAGGTCTTTCAAGAGCAATTGTGAATTCATGATTAGGCTCGCTGCACAGTCCGGAACCAACAGTCTGTTTCTTCTTAATTTTCTTTCTTTTTAAAAATCGTCACCCAAGGATATTCTTATTGATTTTAGAGGAGGGTGGGGGTAAAAGGTAAGGGAGAGGGAGAGAGGGAGAGAGAGAGAGAGAGAGAGAGAGAGAGAGAGAGAGAGAGAGAGAGAGAGAGAGAGAGAAAGAAGATAATGCATGAGAGAACATTGATTGGTCACTTTCTGAATGTGCCCCAACTAGGAATCAAACCCACAACCTAGGTATGTGCCCTGACCAGGAATTGAACCCACAACCTTTAAGTACACGGATAATGCTCCAACCAACAGAGCCACGTGGCAGGGCTCAGTTTTCTTTAAAAGTTATTGTAGCCAAAACTGGTTTGGCTCAGTGGATAGAGTGTCGGTCTGCGGACTGAAGGGTCCTGGGTTTGATTCCAGTAAAGGGCATGTACCTTGGTTGTGGGCACATCCCTAGTAGGGGGTGTGCAAGAGGCAACTGATTGATGTTTCTATCTCATGAATGTTTCTAACTCTCTATTCCCTCTCTCTTCCTCTCTGTAAAAAATCAATAAAATATATTTTTAAAAAAGAGTTATTGTAAACACAACAGCCCCTACCTCTTTAGTTCCATACATACAGATGCCACATGTGAGAGTTTACATTGTGATAATAAAGTAAAAGTTCTAAGTTTTGGGTTTGTGTTAGTGAGATACAGAACAATAATGCAGGCACACAATGGCAAGAAGATACCTAAGTAGAACAGATACGTCATATGTGGGAGCTTAGAGGCAAAGGTAACCATCCTATCTAATAAAGAGGGAATATACTAATTAACCATCACTCCATCACAAAGATGGCTACACCCACAGCTGAAGCCAAGTTCCCATAAGGAGCCTTAACAAGCAATCAGGAGGGACCTGAGGCTATTCCCTCCTCTACTCTGATGGGGCTTGATAGGGGACCTCAGGCCATGTCTCCTGCCTTGTCACCAGGCTGGGGGACTCTCAGGCCATGCCCCCATGCGATTTTGAGGTGAATGTGGGTGGGTGGGGACTTGACTCTGTGTCCTGTGGTGTGCCCCAGGCTCTGACAGGAGGAAGGTTTTCCAAATAAAGTTATACTGTGAGGTACTGGGGGTTAGGACCTCAACCCATTAATTTTGGGGCTACAATAACTGGATCACTGAGGGTGAATTTTGTAAATACCTTTATATTGAACTAGAGGCCTGATGCATGAAATTTGTGCAAGGGGCTCAGCCCTCACAGTCCCAGCTGCCTCGGCCAGCCCTTGCAGGCCCAGCTTATCCAGAAGGTTCGTCAGATGGTTGTTACATAGCATATTAATAATTTAGTGCAGAACAAATAATATATAACTGGAGACCTGAGACACTTAAGAGAAATTACCACTTATATATCAGCCACATCCATGATTTTATCTGTCTTTCCCAGTGCTGGAAATAGTGCCTCCCAGTAGATATTCAATAAATATTTGAGGAAAGCATGAATGGAAGACATGGCATGGTACTAGGCATGCAAGTTGTTTATGTGTTTCTTACGAGTAGTTGTGAGGAAACAAAGAGGTGACGCATTTGTCATAGATTCACTCGTGTGGGTGTTCATGGGTGTGTGTTCTCGAATGGTGCCAGCACAGAGTGATGCCCGATTTCACAGTCCAAAGGCAGTCTACTCTCTGAAAGCCGCGTGGTCCTGCACTTTCCCTGGAGTTCCTGCCTTCTTTACCACAAGGCAGCGGTCCTCAACCTGTGGGTGGCGACCCCTTTGGGGGTTGAACGATGCTTTCACAGGGGTTGCCTTAGACCATTGGAAAACACAGATATTTACATTACGATTCATAACAGTAGCAAAATTACAGTTATGAAGTAGAAACGAAAATAATTTTATGGTTGAGGGTCACCACAACATGAGGAACTGTGGTGGCATTAGGGAGGTTGAGAACCACCGCCATAAGGAGACTGGCCCTGCGCTCCAACCAGATACTAGAAGTTTCTATTGTAATCCAGGGCATCTAGATTCTCTAGGTCCTAGACCTAGACATGACTGGGAGTGGCGGCTCCGAGAAGTCCCTCGGAGGCCCAAAGGGTGCCCAGACTGGTCCTGACTGCGTGGCATGGCCTCAGGCTGAGCTGACATAAGAATGGACACTAAAACCCATTCATTTGACCATTGCTAAGTGCCCAGCTGTCTGAATTCTGGCTTTCCCGAGATCCAATTAGCAAGGGGCGCCTGCCACAGCCTCCAGGCCGGCAGAGGGAGCCCGGCCTCAGGGCGTGGCGCAGAGACTTCCGGGCGCAGAGCAGAGACTTCCGGGAGCTGCGCAGAAGGCTTCCGGGCGCAGCGCGCACTGCGCAGCCCAGGCATGAGGCTCCGCCCACCCCAGCCACCGGCACCGCGGGACGTGGCAGGAGCGGAACTGCCCGGCCATGAGCGGTGCGGCTCCCGGCCGGCCCCGCTGGGCGCGGGTGTCCCGTCTCGTTTCCTTCAGCGCGACCCACCGGCTCCACTGGTGGGTTGTGCCCCAGCGCGGGGGGTGGGGCGGGCCCGGCGCGGGGCAGCGGGTGTGCCCGCTCGGCCCTGGCCCGTCAGGCTCTTTTGGCGACACCGTTAGGGACTGGCAGGGTGACCGGTGGGCAGTCCAGCCGCCGGCGAGGGAGAAGGCGCTGGCTCCGTGACCTCGTGGTCTCAGCGGGGCGGTAACGGTCAGTGGGGCGAACCTCGCCCAGATCACACAGAGGCCGGCGCTTCGTAAGCACTCATAAGTGTTAGCTTCCGAACTAATAAAAACTCAGCTTGTCACCTAAGAGAACATGAGCGCAGATGTCCACTTCCCCAAGGCAGCCCTGAGGGCAAGCAGCACAGTTGCAATTCGATCCCACAGCTTGATGGCACTAGAGTTAGTTTTTTTAAAAAAATACATTTTTATTAATTTTGGAGAGGAAGGGAGAGAGATAGAAACAGCAATGATGAAAGAGAATCATCAGTGGGCTGCCTCCTGCAGGCTTCCTACTGGGGATCCAGCCCACAACCTCAGTATGTGCCCCACCAGGCATGGAATCAGGATCTGGTCCATAGGTTGATGCTTAAGACTGAGCCAGGCCTGCGGGGATAAAGTTGATTTTGAGGAGAGGTTTGCCCCTCAATAGCAAGCTCCACTCTGAGCACCCACTCCCCCATCCAGAAAATAAGGGTAATAGTTTCTACCTAGCAAGGTCCATCCATCATTCACTGGAGAGGTATTTCTTGGGGCTTGTCAGGCCTTGTGCCAGATAACGGATGTAGCGGTGAGCAGTGCGCACCCGTCATGCCTTCTGGGTGGAGTGTGCAATCTGGTCAATACTGTGGAAGGTACAGTGAGATCATTTTGTGCAAAAGCTTTGAACTGTAACATTTTATTTTATTTTATTTATTTTTTAAATATATTTTATTGATTTTGTACAGAGAGGAATGGAGAGAGATAGTTAGAAATATCGATGAGAGAGAGTCATCGATCAGCTGCCTTTTGCACACCCCCTACTGGGGATATGCTGCAACCAAGGTACATGCCCTTGACCGGAATTAAACCCGGGACCCTTCAGTCCCCAAGCCGACGCTCTATCCATTGAACCAAACCGCTCTCGGCTGAACTGTAGCATTTTAAATGTAAGAAGTGCAGGAGCAGGAGAAGATGGGGGAAATAATAAAGTGGGTCTCAATCAGAAAGGGGTTGTATAATAGAAAGCTTGAATATGAGGGTAGTAAGGGACACATTATTGATGCAAAGATTGGACAGGTAGAGACATAAAAACCCATTAAGCAAGGTGCTCTCTGCCTGGAACAACAGTTGAATATGTAATTGTAAAGTGTCACCTGATTTGAATGCCCCTCAATGGACTGGGGAAGTTATCAGTGGAGGCATGATAAAGCAAGATTGTTAAAGAAGAGACTAATAGGTCATGTAATTATTTCTCAGGAGCAATGAGAATTTTAAAAAATATATATATTTTATTGATTTTGTACAGAGAGGAAGGGAGAGAGATAGTTAGAAACATCGATGAGAGAGAATCATCGATCAGCTGCCTCTTGCACACCCCCTACTGGGGATATGCCCGCAACCAAGGTACATGCTCTTGACCGGAATCGAACCCGGGTCCCTTCAGTCCCCAAGCCGATGCTCTATCCATTGAGCCAAACCGGTTTCGGGAGCAATGAGAATTTAAACCACTTGACGACAAGCATCTTTTATCATTCAGCTGTGCCTAATATGTAGTAGGTACTCAGTAATGTTGAGTTAAGAAATGGAAGGGCCTTGAGCAGATCAGGTTTTGGAATTTTGCTGTGGAACAAGGGGGTTGAATGTGCTTATGCTGATTTGTATGGTGTAGTAGTCTAATTGGGGGGCATACAGTGGTTCGTGACATAAAGCTGAATAATAAAACCCAGGTGATTTATGATTCACCATTTGATGAGCTAAGTATTAATAAATTGTGAAACTTATATTGACTTTTTTTCCCCCCCCTGGTCAGCAAATCTCTGAGTAATGAAGAAAATTTGAAACTGTTTGGAAAATGCAACAACCCAAATGGTCATGGGCACAATTACAAAGGTGAGAGGAAAACTGATGAAATTTAGCCCTTTCAGTAAGAGTGGGAGGATTTTAGCAAATACATTCTTAATGAGTAATGGGCAGAGCAGTAATGCTTTGAGCCTTGAATGAGAAGTTAAGTGGAAGTTCAGAATGAAAAGAGCTGTTGCCTTGGCGGGATGTGTTTTAGCTTTTATCTTGCAATTAATTGTCTGCTTTGTTAGATAGTCCAAAATAATTAATGGTTTAAATAAATTTTTTTGGCTTTAGTGTACATATTGAGATTTTTTTGGCACGTTTCATTCTAATTAGGTGTTGCTGAGGCTAATGTTAAAATCAGATTGTATTCTTTGAATAAGTAATGATTGACAAAAGGGGGGTGTTGGTTGGGAATATGCTGTATGGAGGGAAGTAGGTTGAGTTGAAAATTTTGCCAGCAGTGTCCAAGAAAGAAAGTAATTTATACCAGAATTAGAGAGTTGATTGTTTGAAATATAGTAATGTCTCAAAAAAACAGGTATGTAAGCCGCTGAGTATCACTGAATATGGTATGGTGGATTAAGACCAGGAAAGGTATCAGATCAGGATTTCTAGTTTAGTTATTGCCTCTTACTTTATCTATGCTACCTTTCATTCTTAGTTTGTTATTTTTCATATAATATCCCATGGTGTTCGTATGGAGATGAAAAATATGGAAGTTCTTAATTTGTAAAGTGTTCTTATTACCATGATTTTTCAAATGCTTCGTACAAGCACTTGTTAATTTACAAAGTATGATTGTATACATTCGTCTGAGTAAAGGGATAAGAGTTTTATCCCCCTGCCTCCCCAAAAAGAGAGTTACAGTAGTAGTTTTGCTTGTTTAGAAAGGTAGTGCCCAAAAGGTACTGACAGAGTCTGCAGCTGGACTTCTTCCTGTACATTTCCTACTTTACAGGCAGCGATTGGGCAGCATCTCGATCCTTTCTCGTGGAGATTTCTAACTAGTGCCATCAACATCATATGCAGAATTTACCCCCTTCTTGGCTTTGGATTAGCTCTTCTGCTTAGCTAAAAATCCTACTAAGCTCTTCTGTCTTGGTTGACTCTTGCTTTGGTTGATAAAACAATCTTAACTAAGAGAACAGATTTTTGGGGGGCAGTATAAATACAGCTTTATGGGGCAGAGATCTAAAAATGTATGTTGCTAACTTGTGCTTGGATGTTAATCTGTTGAAAGTCATGTTGGTCTTTTGGTCTTTTGTTTTCTCTCCCATAGTTGTGGTGACAGTACTTGGAGAGGTATGTGCTGAATGTGTCTGTGGGTCCTCTTTCTGCCAATGTATAGATTCAGTGCTGACAAATTCTGTTCAAGTCATTGCTTCAATATTGTCCGTTGTGTCTGGTGAGCTGCTGCCATTCCAGGCCTTTCCTCTCTCTAAGTGTCCCCTTTAATGTGCTGTGTGTGGGCAGGTAGAAGAGTAATACAATGAAAGGATATTTGGAGCACTTGGTGCTCCCGTGCTGAGACTGATGATTGTGTTGGGGGTGAAGGCAAATGTGGACACAATTTCTGCACGTTGTACAGCCTTTAATAATTTACCAGAGGTTTAAATATGAATAGGATGTTATAGTAATATTCTCCTCTATTTATTCTTCAGATCGATCCTGTTACAGGCATGGTTATGAATTTGACTGACCTCAAAGGATATATGGAGGTAATGGCATGTTTGGTGCTTATTATGCGCCATCCCTTAAGTAATTCCCATCAGCTACTGGCTTTTCACTTTCCCAGCCAAGTAACTATGAGTTCCAAGATGGGGTGAGTGGAACTGGGTGTGGGAATAGGGAGTAGTTGGAGGAGCTACTTTCATGTTCTTCTAATGGTGTTTGGGTGACTAAACGGAAATTGTCACTATTGTATTACAGTGATGGAGATGAATGTAGCATGCTCATCTTATATTCCTTGCTGCCTTTAACAATTTCCTACATTTAACAATTTCTACTCTTGTTTCAAAATACAGATTTCTTCTTGAAGTTTTCTTTTTTTCCCCCTCTGAATTTTTTATAAAGTAAATCTTTGATAATAGCTTTTAACACTACCCCGTTTTAGTCATTCTAGCCTGATTATAAAGCACTGGGGCAGTTCGTCATAAAGGTAACACAAAAGAATGTGTTCAATAAAGGACTTACTGATTGTATCACTTTAGAATTCTTGCATTGTAAGAGACTGTAGATAATATCTAAGTAATTTCTTCATGTCACAGATTGTTTGAGAGATGCTAAACAGTTAACTCCAGGTCATATACTGTAATTAGTCCTTTACAAAGTTGAGAGTAGATTTGCTTGTATCCAGCTTAGCTTTTATTATGTCATCATTTCACCTGTTTATTTAGTTCTTTGCTTCAGGTTTGCTTCTTCCATTTGTTTCATAAAAATGTTGTTATTTATAAACATTATTTCTTGCACATTCATTATCATCCATATATTCAAGTTTGCCTACTTTGCATCACTTGCTACATAGCTAGTGTTTGGGCTAAATACTAGGAATGCAAAGATGAATGGGACAGAGCACTTTCCCACAGGATGCTCATGTTAATTTTTTTTCTAGTAGGTAAACAGTGAGTTCTCACAGGGTAAAAAAAATGAAGGGATTGAGAAATACAGATTGGTAGTTACAAAATTGTCATGGAGATATATAGTACTTCATAGGAAATATATTCAATAATACTGTAATAACTATGTATGGTACCAGGTAGGTATTGGAAATATCAGGGGAACACTTTATAAAAAATATGGTTTTTTAGCCATTATGCTGTACATCTGAAAATAATACAAAATAATATTGAATGTAAAGTGTAAGTGGAAAAAAGGTTTTCAGCAAATTGGTTAATAAATGAATTAATAAATGAATAAGGGAGTTAGTGAATGAATAACAGCGCTGTGCTTAAAGTGCTTTTGGAAAGCTATAGAGACAGAGTTCTTACATTTAAGACAGCAGTATGAGAAATATGAGATGCCCTAAGTAAGCATTATGATTAAATACATCTTTGTTTACCACCTTGAAGGACATCATACACTCCCGTCAGTAAAAGTGGCTCATCATGGCATATAGTGCAAAGTCAGAGTCCTGTTGAAGAGGCTGCAGTGGAAAAGTTGAGACTTGAACTGGAATTAAAGATAAAACAAAGATATTTCTTTTCATGATATCTATGTGGATTTCACTTAATCTATTTTAAAGGTAGTTTGGTTTAGGACTTACTATTTTTGTGATTATGATTTTTCTAAAAAAAATGATTGCTATTTTTATTATTAATGTACACTTGTTAGACCATACCACATGGAGAATTAGATTATTTTCATTTTGAACAATATAGATAATTAAAAGTAAAAAATTAGAAAATGCTTATCTTTAGTACAATATAGCTAAAAACTTAGAATAAAGCAATTACAATTCTTGATATCGATAAAGGAAAACGTTAATATATAAGCATTAGGAAGAAATGCATTTATGTCATATTTTTTCTTCTAAGGGTTCAAGATAATTTTTAAATTATTCCTTATAGCAGAAATGTGGTACTATTAATGTAATAACAGTTTTAGTCTGCCTTATAAAATGTAGTACTCACTGAATCTCTCCTAGTGACATTGTGGCATTGTCTTGAAGGTGAGACTCTTATGGAGTAGTATTTTTGGTAACTTTTTGGACAGCATGCAAGAGTGTTAAACTGAATTCTGAATCACAGTGGCTGTTATGAGAAAACTCTAGTGAATACTCTACTTATTGGTTTCTTAACCTCTTTGCATTCAGTAAGAAGGAAAAATAGTCATTATGGAGAGCTAATGTTATTTCACAATTTTAAAATTTTTGAAATTGCTTCATAAGATACAGATAAAGTACACAGTAAAAGTATTGAGCTAGTGGCTGAATGATAACTTTTAGAGGCAAAGGTAGAACACCTTGGAATCTGAGTCATAAATGGAATGGATGTTTTTCCTCTGTTTTGTCTGTAGGAGGCAATCATGAAACCCCTTGATCATAAGAATCTGGATTTAGATGTACCATACTTTGCAGATGTTGTAAGGTGAGGGTGACTATATAACCTAATAATAGAGTAATATGTAAATTAACCATCACTCTGCTATGCAGACCACGCCCACCAGCCACACCCAATAGCTAATCAGAGCGAGTATGCAAATTAATCCAAAAAGATGGCAGTTAATTTGCATATGCGGAGGGAGGGAGGAGACAGCATAGAAGGAAGAGGGAGGGAAAGTGGAAAGCAAGGAGGCTGCGGCTGCTGGAGGGAAAGCACTGGCAGCCTGTGCGGGGCGGGGCGGGGCAGGGCAGGGCAGGGCAATGTGTGCAGAGTGGCATGCACAGAGATGATGGCTGCGGGAAGCAGCAGGGGCAGTGGGTGTGGTGGTTGGGTGGGCAGGGTGGGGTGCACAGCAGCAGCCTGTGCGGGCCCAGAGGCAGCAGCAGCGGGCGTGGCCACAGAGGCAGGGGTAGTGGGCGGGTGCAGTGGGTCCAGTGTGCGGGACAAGGTGCACAGTGGTGGTGGCAGCGCGCTGCGCAGCCGCACGCGGGTGTGGTGGGGTATGCGGGGAACAGAGGTGGGGGTGGCAGGAGGGAAGCCCGCCGGAAGTCTTGCAGGAATATTCCTGCAACAGGTGCCTATTCTTACATAATATAGAGAATAAGAAAGAAGAATGTTAATATTTTATTTAATTGCTATGTGATTACTAGAGTTTTTGTTTAATGACACCTTTTAAAAATAGAATTTCTGTTCTCCGTAAATATTAAACATTAAATTTAATTTATTTGTCTTTTGATCTTCTCTCCTTTTCTCTACAGCACAACAGAAAATGTAGCTGTGTATATCTGGGAAAACCTCCAGAAATTTCTTCCTGTGGGGAGTCTTTATAAAGTAAAAGTATATGAAACTGATAATAATATTGTAGTCTATAAAGGAGAATAGCCCTTAGGAGTCAATATTATAGATTCTATAGAAATCTATAGTATAGAAATATTCAATTTCTGTCCACATTTGAAAAATATCTTTATCTCCTTGGACTATTAAGACACCATCACATAGTTACTGCACCTCCACATTGTTCTGGAATGCCTGATTCATTGTAATCATTGTAAGACTTGTATTAAATTCAAATCTATTTTAAAACCAAATTTGTAATGTATCATTAAGAGTGTCTGTTTTGTATAGATTAAAAATCACTTCACTGCAATTGTTGCTTTATGTTTTTGATTTTCACCACCCTGGATTGTGGGCAAAGTCTTTATTCTAAGCAGAGTATCTAGTGATTTTTGTTGATTAAATCAATGGCATATTGATGGAAACTTGAAATTTATAGTGCTTTAGCCATGATGAATACTTGGTCAATATTTTTAGAATTGAAAAACATGAAAGTTTTGAGGCTTCCATTCCAGTCCCAGTGCTGTTACTGTTCATTTGTGCCACTTCTATCTCAGAGCCTTAGGGATGCTGGACCAGAGGATTCCTAAAGCTGCTCCTGTCTGTTCTCAAGAGTTCTATCTCCATAATTTTAAATACCAAATGAGAATATATTCATTTAGATAAGGAAAAAGATTGATATGGGATTCTGTGGAGCTCTAACCAGAGTACACTGGAGGTTAAAGGCCCACTCAGCATATACACACCTGCAGGCACTGACATGGCAGTGTTGCTATCTTAAAGGCCCCTTTGCCCTACGCATGTGCCAGGGCAATGACAGCAGTAGTGCTGTGTGTATTGTGAAAGTGCATCCTCATATGACCTGCTTATGTTAATGTAGCACGGATGTCACTAATTGGCCTGAGGCCTCTTTTGTTTGAGTATATATGGTAAAGGACTTCCCAGACTAGAAAAAGCTAAAGGAGTTCATCATCTCCAAATCAGCATTAAATGAAATATTAAAGGATCTTTTAGAAGAAGATAAAAAATATGAACAATAAAATATAAATACATAGCTATCAACAATTGAATCTAAATACAAGATAAACAAAAAAACAAAACAAGATAAATGAACAAGCAGAACAGAAACATATTCATAGATAACAGAGAACATGTTGATGGGTGCTAGATAGGAGGGTGGTTAGCGAAATGGGAGAAAAGGTGAAGGGATTAAGAAGTACAAATTGGTTGTTACAGAATAGTCATGGGGATGTAAAGTACAGAATAAGGAATATAGTAAATAATATTCATGCCAGATGATTTCACTTATGTGTGGAATGTAAAAAAACAAGCAGAACAGAAACAGACTCATAATATGGAAAACATTTGGAGGTTGGGATCAGTGAAAAAGGTTAAGGGATTGAGAAGTACAAATTGGTAGGTACAGAATAGTCATGGGGATATGAAGTTCTGTATAAGAAATATAATCCTATATAATTAAGAGGGAATATGCAAATTAACCACCACTCCACCACAAAGATGGCAGCACCCACAGCAGAGGTGAAGTTTCCCAACATAAGATGGCTGCACCCAGTGGAGGCTGAGTTTCTGTAATGAGCCTTAATGAGCAATTAGCAGGGACCTGAGGCTGTGACCTCCCCGCCCCCGTGGGACTTGGCAGGGACCTCAGGCCATGCCCCCCACCTGGCAGGGCTGATGAGGGACCTCAGGCCACACCCCCTGCCCTGGTGCCAGCTTGGGGGACCTCAGGCTGTGCCTCCCACCCCAGCACCAGGCCAGGGGACCTGAGGCTGCAACCCCCTGCCCAGTGGGGCTTGATGGGGGGCTTCAAGGGGCGCACCCACCTGATGGGGCTTGACAAGGGTGGGACTGACCAGATCTGGATCTAGCCCAATGCGGGGGCGGGGGGGGGGGTAGGAGAAAAGGTAAGGGGCATGGCAGGGTATGGATCTTGAGCAATTTTGAGGTGCATGTGAGTGGATGGGGACTTGACCCAGCAACTCCAATTCTGGTTATTTACCCAAAGAAACTCAAAATGCTAAATTGAAAAGACATACACATCCATATATTTATGGAGGAAGATTTTCATATACATTTTACTAATTTTATTTCATCTCTTCTATTATAGAGAAAGGGCAAATAGCAATATTAAAATACTTCCTCTAATTAATTCCTTTTAATGTGCACAAATTTTGTGCACCAGGCCACTAGTCATCTATGTAAAAGCCTAAGTGACCAAATGACCAGTTGGTTGGTTGCAATGACACCCACTGACCACCATGGGACAGATGCTCAACACAAGAGCTGCCCCCTGGTGGTTAATGCACTCACACAGTGGGAGTGTTGGTCAGCTGACATCCTGCCCACCAGTAGTCCTGTAGGTCTAATCTCCAGAGAATGAGCCAGGGACCAACTGACCGGCACCACCAGCACTTTCCCACCAGCATCGCCCGCCTCCTGGAAGTCGGCCTCAGGCACTTCCCCTCCCTAGATGCTCCGCAAGGAAGAAATGATATAAAAGTGGCTGCCAGATGGCTCCTGAGAACCGGCACAAATGTCAGTGGGACGAGTTCAGATCCAGATCCTGGGGCAGCATCCCACCACTTGCTGGAAGGGCTGATCATGTCCTGGCTCCCCACTTCCCTTCAGGATGGGCACCAGACGCAGGGCTCATGGCTGGTGAACGCTGCTGTGGCATCGCGAGCCTCTCCCGATCTGGACCGAGCACAAGCCCTCGGCAGGCAGAGCGGGGCCAGGGCTGGGGCCAGCGTGAGCGGGAGTGGCAGACAGGATCGGCAGGTGTTGCTGGACTGCTGGTTTCAGCCCGATCCCTGAAGGCCACTCCTAGGGACCCCACCGGTGCATGAATCCATGCACCAGGCCTCTAGTTGATAATATAATAACTATGGTGTCAGGATGGGTAGTAGATTTACTGGGGCAATCACTTCTTAAGTTACGTAAATGTCTAATCATTGGGTTGTACACCTTAAACTAATATTGTATAATATTTCAACTGCAATTGAAAAATAAAAAAAAATATTTAAAAAAGATACGTGGCTTTCTTATATATCAATGTATCATTTGTGATAGGTTTTTAGGCATTTTCTTTGTGCCAGGTGTTGTTCTAAGTACTTTATATATATCAACTGATTTAATGTCAACACAGTAACATATGAGGCGGCTACTGTCTTTCTCCCTACTTTACATTCGAGGAAACCAAGGTACATGGAAGTTAAGCTTCTGGTGTCAGGACCCACAACTAGTAAGAGACAAAATCAAATGAAATTGAATCCAGGCAGTCTAACTTGAGTTTATGCTTTAAGATAATTTGCCTAATGCTTTACTTCATTATTACATCTTTTTCAACATCTACTTTACAGAGTAAAGTGGTGTTAGCAGACACTATCCAATACTGTCTCAATTGTCTGCCTCTTCTGAATGGCTGGTGTTACAGTTGGTCATTGACCAGGTTGGGACTCTTTCTGTGAAGGCCTTTGAGGTAATGGGATTTGCAAGGCATCTGTTTTCTTTCCTACTTTCTCACAGTGCGCTATGCTGGTCAGGCAGTTGCTGTTTCTGTCACAGAATAAAAATGCACTGAATTTACAAAGCATGATACTACAAGCCAGAAAAGTAGGACAAGGTTGGGCAAGTGAGTGTGGGAGTGATAAACAGTCCACCTCTTGTTCATCTCTTTACTGTGCATGAGGTCAGAGCCTGTGGGCTTCCTTGCAGTTGCTCATGTGCATTTTTTTTCCTGTTGGTGTGTTAGTGTCCTATCAGGATCGGGAGGTTGATTACAAAGATGAGGATCAGGATTAGCTATTCCTGAGAGTGAGAATGTGTGGACTTCTGTAACCCTTCTTTTCATTCCACAATCCCAGCTGCTTAAGGAGTGACCAGGAAGGCCAGCCACCTGGAGGCTATGCTGCTTTAATTCCTGTCTCCTCAGCCCAAGGAGGAGATCACTTGTTTGAGCACAACACAATTTCTGAGCCTGGATTTCGCTCCAGAATCCTCCTTAACAGTGCTCCCGGCAGCCTCTGTCAACCAGTCAGATATGGCGTAAGATCATGCCTTCTTACCATCTCTGACTAGACCTTACCAAAGATGTCAGGCTGTGACAGAGAAATAAAAATTGAGACCTTCAGATACCTCTTACACACAGATGAGAAAACCAAGGTGGGAGATGTGATGCCACTTGTTAAAGGTTACCTTTTTACTCACAGCAGAACTGGAATTTACATGCGTCCTGCCTGCTGGGCCAGCCCCCTTGCTCAGCTCCTCTGCATTCACCCAGATTTCTTTGAGTCTAAAAGTTTCCCAGCTTCAGAGAGTATCTTTGCAGGATGTCTGTCACACCTCCCACATTGAAACTGGGATGGGGGCCAGGTTGGACTGTGAAAGTTTTAAATATGAAACTTGTTCCTAGCCCACAGGTGCAGGACTCACTGCCGTTAATATCTAGAATTTAATTTAAAGCAATCCAAACAGCCAAAACCCGTTTGGCTCAGTGGATAGAGCATCAGCTTGAGGACTGAGGGGTCCCAGGTTCAATTCCGGTCAAGGGCATGTACCTTGTTTGTGAGCACATCCCCAGTAGGAGGTGTGCAGGAGGCAGCTGATCGATGTTTCTCTCTCATTGATGTTTCTAACTATCTCTCTCCCTTCTTTTCTGTAAAAAATCAATAAAATATATTTTTTAAAAATCTAAACACACCAAAAAACAAACCTCACACATTCTGGGGGATGCTTAATGAAGAAAGGCTGTCAAATTCAACACTTAAAATCTGTCAGGTCACTGGCTGACTGCTGCGACAGCAGGAAAGAGACTGAGGTAACCACACGAGAAGGCAGCCTTTGCAGAAGTCATTTGGAAAAGTCCCTGGACAGATGGATGACTCAATAAGCAGCAACCATGGAGAGAAGGGAGAATATGATTCTAGAGTCACTGTGTTATAATATTCAAAACGTTCAGTTTTAAAAAATATAAAAGACCTACAAAATAGAAAAGTATGGCCTATTCACAGGGAAAAAGGAGGAATTGAAAGAAACTGTTCTTGAGAAAGCCAGTCACTAGATGTTGGCATTCTGGAATCTATATTAATAATAGACAAATATCTAAATTGACTGTACCCCTGTGACACCCACAGCCAATCAGGATTGAGTATGCAAATTAACCCAACAAAGATGGTAGGCCTGTGGGCAGTGGGCAAGCGAGGGGGGTGAAAGAGATAAGGGTATGGGGGTGCAGTGGGGGGAGAGGGTGGGTTGGATGAGAGGCATCCCTGGGACCCCACCCCATTTGAGCCTGTGGCCAGTGCATGCGTGAGCGCTGGCACTGAGTGGCTGGGGTCCCGGGGCCCCCACTGGAGTGTTCTGTCCTGTCAGCCCAGCCTGGGGGTGGCTGGAGTTTGCAGTTCTTTTGATTCGTGCAGCCCCTGGACCAGAAGTGGAAACCAAGAGCATGGGGAGCACCAGGAATGCTGGGAATCGTAGTTCTGGTGGCAGACGTATTGAGGGATCTCCTAGACACTAGAGCAAAGTAAGTCTGAAGCAAGTTATTGTTGCAGGTTGGGGATGGATGGAAAGCAAAGGTGAGAGACATAAATAAAGTCAGAGTGTTGAGGAAAAATTAAAGGAAAGATATCCTGAAACTTCTAGGAAATCACCAATAAAGCAAAGGAAAAAAAAAAAAAAAGACTTCTATTATTCTGTGAGCACCATACCAAACTGGATTGGGGTCTCAGACAATTCGCTCATATGATTGCAAAGACAGACAGAAACCCCCAGATTGGAGAGGGCTCCCCTGAGGGCTCCCAGATTGGAGAGGGTGCAGATTGGGTTGAAGGACCACCCCTGAGCACGAATCTTCATGCACCGGGCCCCTAGTTTAACATAATTACTAAAAGAAAACTTTGTTGGCTGTTACAGGAAATGCCATGCTTTCTTTTGGTTTCACATTGTATTGTGAATATTATAAATATTTTGCCCTTTTATCCTAGTGGACAACACTGTTAGGGGAAAAATGACCAGTTTGCACTTGAGGAATACTAAAATTGAGAAAATTTTACCCATAGATCTGGCCTTGAAAACATAGATACTCTCATTATTTTATTAAATGTTTAATGTTTGCACAAATGAATAAAATTAGATAACATTCTTTATGTTTTAAGATAATCACTTATTAAAGAATTTGAATTTAACACATTGTTCTTGTTTGGAATATAGTATTTTTGGGTATGACATAGAAAATAATGCCTTTATCCCATAATTTGTCCCTATTTTTGGCTGCTCAGACATGGTACATTCCTATTTCCTTGCCCTTCTAATGCTAGTGGTGTTGCCAGCAGAATGAGGGTTACTTCTCCTTTCCTGCTGTGTCACATGAGCCTACACACTCTGTGTAACCTGGGTGGGTTTGGCCAGAAATCGGAGATGATCTTGAAAGCGAGGAAAGGTTCTTCCCACAGAGACTCAGGGGGATCATTTGGCAACGAACAAAAGTTTAACTGGCGATGGAACTGGCTGTCATGTTAAACCTATAGCCAGAATTCCGGTTACCTCCAGACCAGCTCTAAGTATTAATAGTTACAAAAAGCCTGAAAGATTTAGTTGCACATCTGTGTGCCCCAAGTCCACTAGTGAGTGAGCTGGCTACTCTCAACCAAGTCTCTTTTTTAGTCCAAAGCAATGGCAGGAGAGCTGTACATTTGAGAACATGAGACCTTCATGCATACACCTGACGGAGCCCTGGCTTGGAACCGAACGCAGGAGGATGTAGCAGAGGCAGGAACAACGGTTCCCTTAGCATCTTTCTAGAAGAGGAGTTTGCTGGTGAGGAAGACGAGCAGGATCTGGATGGCATCTGTGATGGGGCTGAGGAAGATTTTGTTGGCGAAGCTTTTGGTTGAGGTTGCGGTCTGGGCTGTGGTTAGGATTCGGTTTGTTGTTGGGCTTCGGGTTGAGGTTAGGAATCGGTTTGTCGTTAGGCTTTGGGCTGTGGTCGGCCTGGTCATGGAGGTCATGGAGGCCGTGGAGGTCATGGAGGGTGATGCTGTGATCATTGCTGGGGGAGAAAAGGACATCAGAACACACATTGGAAAATGAGGCTAATCTGATGCGACACTGGGGCCAGAGATCATGAGCAGAATTCAATAAGCATGTCTCAAGGGCCAAGTGTATGTAGCAGAAGGGAAAGCTATGGCGTACAGAATGTCACGGAGAGAAAGAACACTATCTATCTCTAAGGTCTACATAGTCCTGGAAGGAATTTACATAACTACAGAATTTGTTGTTGGGTAGATTGTCAGCTCTCAAGTGTCCTTAATATTGCATTAGATCCATCAGGCAAATATGATCCAGAATGGCACAGTTTTATTTTTCCTTGCTAATTTCAAAGGTTGCACGTGAAGCTTGTAAGAACTAGTTACCAGCCAAAACTGAGAATGGCCACTCTTGCTTTAAAGTAAATGGAAAGAGGTGCTGTCCAAACCTCTGAACCCCTTTCTGTGGTTGCTGAGGCCCTGGCCATTTCCTGTGCAGTGATCTGACCCCACACTGGTTCTCTGAGGTTGCCTTGCTGAGAAGCAGAGAAAGCCAGGTCTCTGGGGCAGGGGGTGGGGGTGAGGAAATGGGGAGAATGGATGTCTAATACTGGAAAAGCTAGAGTTTGACAATGATACCTGCAAAGGTCTAAGTGGACCACAGAGGGGACTATAGAGAAGAAGGGACAGCTCGACCTGTGTTGCTCAGTGGTTGAGGTCATGGTTTGATTTCCAGTCAGGGCACATGCCCGGGTTGTGGGCTTGATCCCCAGTGAGGGGCGTGCAGGAGTCAGCCAATCAATGATTCTCTCTCATCATTGATGTTTCTATCTTTCTCTCTCTCTCTCCCTTCCTCTCTGAAATCAATAAAGGTACATTAAAACAAAAATGAAGAAGAAGGGACATGAGCAGAATTTAATAAGCAAATCCAGTGAGTTGCTTAGGCCCATGCATTCTTCTGCTACTTGGAGGGGCCTGTAAGTCTGTGGCATTGTCTTATCTCACTTAGTATTTACCCAGGGCAAATGTTTCTCTAGCATCTCACCCAGCCAGAAAGTCTGACACAACTATTTTATTATTATTTTTTTAAACTGGATTTTATTAGCATGGAATAAGGAGTCCTGATTAGAAACATACTCTCCCCCCCCCCCTACTTCTTAGCATTTACACTCATGCTCATCTCAAAAATGTCCTTGAGGAAGAAAAGAACACCCAGTCTTCTCACAGAGGGGAAACCACCAAGGCAACAGTGAAGGCTTTCACATAATAGTTTGTTACATAATAGTTTGTTAGGCATAATCACTTTAACATTTGCTTTGAAAATGGATATCCCTTTGACCGCATTTGCAGCATATGATGGGTGGGAAACCGGCACCGGGATCCTGAGGAAGACTAGTTATCTGGACATTAGGGAGGCTGATGTTCCTTGTGTGTAGTTGGACCTTGTATTTAAAACTTTCATTTAAAAAAGAGATTGTCTTTATAGTTTTGATGTAAGTCTAAGGAAAGTGTAAAAAGTATAAGGTGGGATTTGAGCCCTGTTTTTTCCATTTACTTTCTGAACCTCAATTTCTTGAATTTGTTTTAGCTCCCTAGAGGGGAGTGAGAGAGCACAGGGAACAGAGAGAGGGAAGGAGGGCGAGAAGCCTCAGGATGGTTTGAGGTTGAGGACCACACCCTGGGGAAGAACAGTGGAAATTCCTGGTGGTAGTGGTGGTGGCCAAAGGCCATTCTGAGAATGAATGAGTGTTTGGTATTCTTATGGTGTCAACCCTTCTGTGTGCACATCTGCCCCCTCAGTCCTGTAACACCTGCAGCACTGTGAAGGTTTTATGTGAGCGGGAAATCTTTGTGGAAACTAAGGAAGGAGCTGACTTTCACGTTGGTGTCTACGAGGTGCTGAACAGGAATGGGACCTGAGGAAGCAGGATTCTGCAGTCACAGGTGACTCTGAGGATATAAGGCCCCTGGGGATTGGCAGAAATCTTGGGGATGGCTTTTGTTTTCTACAGAGCATAGAAAAAAGAGTGGAGCCAATCTTATATAGGTATCAAGGTGCTAGAAGGCTCAACTGATATCTGGGTAACACACGCCCAGAAGGCTTTTGTAGGCCCCCACTAGGTAACTTTCAGGCTGTGTGCACTGCCAGATATGTAAAGGGGCTGCAAAGGAACTTACCTTGATTTTCCAGTTTCAGATAAGAAACGGTGGCCACTCTGAAGAAATTGATAACGAAGGCTCTGTGGAGGGCAAATCAATGAAAGATAATGGTGAGGACCTCAGCCGTGGAGTCCACAAGTTCAGCTCACATTTCTGCCTTCCCAGATGGCCCCAACCTCTTAATTCTTTTTGTGCTTACTTTCCCTACAGATCATTGAATACTTGTCTGCTCTATATCGTCTTTTTTCTTTCTTGTTCCACCTACCCATGCATTCATTGGTTACCTTCTGTATGTAGCCTGATCTTGTCCTATTGAGATGATGTTCTAACTAACTGAGCTACTTGGCCAGGGCCTCTATATTGTCTTAACTAAGATCTATGATTTTGCTCCTGAGAAGATCATGTTTACCCTCCACCCTCACCCCCCTCCTCCCAATCCAACCAACTTCATTCTCTTAAACTCCCCATAGGCTGGTATACACCTGGGGTCTTTGTTCAAGCCAGTTTCTGCCTGTGATATCCATCCAGACCATGTCTGCCCACAGATGTAACAGTAACTCTATGAAGTTGTTTTCCCTGTTATCCTTAACCCAGACAGATCTCCGTCAGAGGGACAGGCCCATCTATGCGTTGTCCTGCTGTGAGCCTCTCCTCCCACTAGAGGGCCAGCTCTTTGAGAGCAGGTTCTGTTGTCAACAATGATTGACACATAGTAGGTGCTTAATGTTCATGAAATGATTTGTAGAGCTTGGTCTGTTGTTCTTTTATTAGTGGGTCCATTATTATATCAGCCTCTTGTTCACACGTTCGACAGTTAATTGAGGAGAATGTACAACATGTCAATCACTGTGCATGGTGCTGAGGGGCAGTAGTGAATCAGTTAGGAATGGTCTTACCCTTGTGGCACTTAGAGTCCCTTCAGAGAGACTGATTTTAAATGAATAATCAACCAACAGACTGAGTAATTGATCACAGTGGTAACATGAGCTCTGACAAAGTAGTGGAAGTTGAGAGAGTGGAAACAGGGCTTGGGAACTTATCGGGGAGTTTAGGGACAGTTCAAGTACTGGATGGTGAGCAAGTGATGTTGAACCTCAGTACTCACTTCTGCACAGGCCCTGCCTCACTATAAGTAAGGCTCCTGGCCAGGGACCTCTTCCCTTCGCTTCTGTGCCCTCTCAGCACAGTGGAACCCTCACAATGCCATGCTGCTCCCCTCTCTTTGTCAGCTTTGCTGATCAAGGCCGTGTGTGTACATTGCCACCAAGCAGCAAAGCCAGTGCATCACAGCCGCTGTGAGCCAGGAAGGTCTGGAGACCGCACTGTCAGTGGGAATGTGCTGTTTCTACTGCAGTGTTACCTGTTGTTGCATGGGGTGTGGAGGCTTTAATGAGGAGAGATGAAGCGACCATTGTCTTATTGATAATTAGCCTGGCCTGGTCTCTAAGGGACTGCGCTTGGGCAAAGTTGGATTGTTGGAGCTCCTTTGGGATTTTACTCCTGCAAGTGGCTCTGCGGGAGCCAGTGAGGTCCAAGGGCAGGGCAGGTGAGGAGGGATGGTGGTGAGATGGGATGGTGGCAAGTGAGGAGGGATGGTGCTGAGATGGGATGGTGGCAGGTGAGGAGGGATGGCGGTGAGGCGGGATGGCGGTGAGGCGGGATGGCATGGCAGCATGCTCACTACCATGTCCATGGAGCCTTGGTGGACAGGACCTGCTGGATAGACTTGTCCTTTCAGCACAGAAAGGACCGCAAGGACTCTCAGCTGGGTTTCTGAAGTGAGCTTGGGAGCCATCCCTGGCTGCAAGGAAAGCTTTTGTTAACGAGCTGTGTCCATTCAGTGTGACACTAGGAGGGGAGTTATTACACAATCAGCACACTTTCTGTTAGAAACTGTTTCCAAAATGAACCTATGTTTTGAAAAATGACTCTGCAGTGTGAGTATAGAGAATCTGAAGTAAACAGGGTGCAGTGACAAAGATTCTCTGCTTGACCTTACTTCACTCACGCTCTGGAGCTTCCTCCTGGTCCATCTCTGCTCTTGCTTATAAAATCCAGCGTTAGCAAGAATGCTGCTAAGTCTGTTTAGCAAGAACCTCTCACCCTCGATATCTGATAACCCTCAATGTCTGTTTGAGTTCCTCATTTGCTGCCATCCTCACATGGTATCTGATCACCTAGTCCTGCCTCCAGCAGCAATCCTGTTAGGCCAGCTTAGCCAGAATCCCTCTTATAGGCCTGATGTTTCCTCTCAGGAACTTTCCATCCACTGACCCCTCCCTGCTCCTTGGCTATAAATTTCCATCTGCTCCTGTTATATTCAGAATCGAACCTGGTTCTATACTGAGGTCTATTCTCTTATTGCAGTCGTCCTGAATAAAATCTGTACTTTACTATATGTATATATATGGATTATTCCTTCTTCCATTCATTTTGCTTTAACCACTGTCCAGCTCTGGTTTTCTTTACCACCAGTTCTTTCTATTTATGTTGAGCACACCTGGTGCGTGCGTGCGTGCGTGCATGTGTGTGTGTGTGTGTGTGTGTGTGTGTGTCTGTATAAACTCCTATAAATAAAAGGTAGGACAAAGAATGGTAAGGCAGAAAAGGAGTACAAGTACTGACTTCTCCACATCATATCTGTATTGTATTTTGTGTCCTTCAAGATCAGTGTAAAACTGCATAAACCCAACGTGAAACTATAAAAGCCCAAGCAAATCATATATAGGTAGGTTCTTACTGTATCTCCACTGTGATGTTCGTGTAACGAGGAGATTGCCAGTTGGCCTTGAGGAAGCTTTCACGCGTGTCCGTCACGTGATAGAGGACGCTGCCGTTGCAATACAGGTCCGCTCTGTGCCAGAGGCCTACCGAGCTGTTGTTGCTTGTGTCCACCGCTCTCAGGGTCACAGAGTTGGTGATGTTGTTCACAGGCACAAACACTGAGAAGAAATGATAAGGCAACAGTCAGCCATCTATGTAGTAAGACAAGGGATGAGGGCTATGAAATCAAAATTAACTGAAAAAAGAAAGTTACAAATAGCATGCACATGCAGTATTTTTGTAAAAGAAGTTGAAGGAAAGACATCAAGATATCAACTGTGGTCATTTCTGGGTAGTGGGATTACAGATGATTTTATTTGCATTTTCTAAATTTTCCATGGCCAAAGGTAGACAAAAGGAGAGTGTTGCTACCTACCAGGGGTGAGATTCGAGGCGGGCTCCTAACACTGGAGCCCAGGTCTTATCTGTCAGATGAGGGATGAAGATGCTCTGTCCTTCTTTCAGGGGGAGTGGGATGTGGGCAAAGCAGGAGTTGGTGCATGTGACAGGGTCACGTGGGCTCCAGAAAGTGTTCCCGGAAAATTGAGAATGTTATTCCAAATTAGAGCAGAGCCCACTTCCTAGTCTTGCCGAAGCTCTTGGTGTCCGTAGATGAGGGCGAGGGAGGGGGCCTCTGAGCTCCAGGGGCCCTAATCCAGGTACCTCTTAAACGACCCCTCACAGTCTCCAACCTCCACTCAGGTGAATCTCTTATGACCTCGCTTAGCCTGCATTCACAGGAGACCCCACTGACACCTGTTAATTCCAGCACTCTGATTTGTAAAGGGGACAGAGTTTCCAGAGAACGTTTCAGTGGGTTCATTTCCTCTCTTAGAAGGTCCCTTCTGAATGAATTCCTCAATGCTAAGGTGCTCCCCAGGGCCCTTTCAGACATCAAAAATTCCTTCAAGGACTTCTCCTTCACAAACCAAAGAAAATGGGTCAGGTAGCACAATAGGATGCACCAGTGCTGGTTCTGAATTTCAGTTCTAACAAGTCATTTCCCCTCTGAGACTCAGTTCCCTTGTTCTTCATTATTCACTCCACAAATAGTTGTTGAATTCCAACTTTGCACAAGCCCGGTTCTAGGGCTGGAGATAATGACATTATCCTTTATTACATGGAGATCATGACACCTTATTTTAAAAGGTTCCTGGGAGGAGCCTGGCTGGCGGAGCATCTGGAGGGCAGTAAGTAACCTGGGAACCTGGAGGGCAGTAAATAACCTATAAACCAGGAGGAGGTCACGGTTCAATTCCTGATCAGGGCACATGCCCAAGTTGTGGGCTCAATCCCTAGTAGGGGGCATGCAGGAGGCAGCCAATCAATGATTCTCTCTCATCAGTGATGTTTCTATCTCTCTCTCCCTCTCCCTTCCTCTCTGAAATCAATAAAAATATATTAAAAAAGAGAAATGTCCCTGGGAGGAAGAACAAAAACAGTGCAAAGACTTTAATACATAGTGTGTGTTAGACAGTTGCAATTTTCTTTTAGCACAATGCATTTCTCTGTTTTATTTCTTTGTAATTGCCAATTAATGTGGGTGGAGCCAGACTCTACGGACCCTTCCTGGCTCGGTGAGAACCTGACATTTGTCCTAGATGAGTGTGTGATGGTGAGGTGGACTGTGGTAAGTCATGGTGTGTGTCATCCAGGTGGCTACCAAGTCTGTCAGCTCTCCCTCAGGCATGCTCTTACCTCTGTCCTTTCTTCTGCTTTCCTTCTCTCACTCTGGCTTATATCCTCCTTTCTTTTCTCCTAAGCATTTGTATTTGGATTCTGGGCCACATTCTCCTCTCCATTCAGCCATGTATTTAGGCTGTGGCCAGGTCAGGCTCCCACACACAACACTCCCATCAGGAGACACTCTTCTCCAAAACTTTCAAAGTGCCCTTATTTCTAGAGCACAAAACATTCTGCTTCTTTTCTGTCTGGCACAGTACTAGCATGTGGCTTTCATGACCTTCAAAACCTAGCTCCCCCTGTTATTTGCACCCCGCCTCTCAGGACAGACAGCTTTCCTGTGGTTCCGCAGACAGACGCAACTCACACCTGCTCCTGGTCTCTGTTTACGTCTGTCTGTTTGTGTGGAATCCTTACTTTATTTTCATCACACATTTCCTTCCCATTTATTTACTCTCTAAGAGCCTGCTAGGTCCCACCTCTGGGCCAGTTCAGCCTTCTTTCCCTCTCACTCCTGAAACATGATTTTTTTTTCTTTTTCTTTTCTTTTCTGTGGAGCTGAGTGTTTAATTACGTTCTGGCTTAATTACATACTGTGGTTTCCTCTGTGCCAGTATCTGGCCAGCCCAGTGCTGGGCACCTGGAGGGCAGTAAGTTACTTTTAACTGATTGGTTTAGCAAACTGTGCATCCGATGGTGTACAGTCAGTGCCCTTAAAGCTGATGATGTAGGAATAAAGGCAGGCCACATCCCTCTTGCCCATAGAGGTAAAAAGTGGAGGCGGATGCTGACCTGGTCCAGTCTTGCCATAAATGTCACTGCTTTATGGATTTCCTTCAATGGCATGGAGACAGACCCAGGGAACTTGTTCTAAGATACGGCCTGAGCTGCCACTGTGTCTTGGGATCTGTCAAACCATTTACACATGACTAACTAATGTTGACACAAACCCTGAAAATTAGAAAGTTTCAAATTAAAAATAAGAAGTTGGCTTGTGTGGGCATTTATTCAGTCTCAGCCAGCCGTCTCACAGTGACACTCTATGAGGAAATCCGGAGACTGTGGTGTAACCCAGGTGTGCAATCGGGTACTTCATACCTCTTAAGGGCACAGGGTTTTGACTCAACTTAAATCATTCCTACAGTGAGTCACTCAGCGCATCACGGAGCAACAGCACATCTGTGGTGAAATGAAGTGAGGCTGGGGACGGACATTGCATGCAGTAGGCATTTAATGAACCCAAGACTCCTTTTTCCTTTCCCTTCCCCCTACTCTGCCTACTGCCGTCGTAAATGCCGGGATTTCCCTTTCAGCCAGCATGGCCCCTTCCAAGGGTCTTTCCTTTGTAAGGCATCTTATTGGTCACCTTTTGACTCTTCTTTCTCCTACCTTCCTACTTTTATAAGGCTCATAACCCCCATCTCTGCACCCAATCTTCACAAAGTAGGTTCCTATTTCTTCCATTTTAGCAGCAAAACCCTCCCCCATGTGATGTGTTATTTCAAGGTAATAGTCCCTCGGGCCCCCTAGGTCCTTTCTCACATACAAGGTCACACACATGTCCTCCTTTTTTTCATCTTGGATTACAAGATGATCCTCCCTGTCCTGCAGGACAAGATCCACTGCCTGAACGAGTGGGACGTAGTGAGCCTTATCACAACTGAGGCATTTATGGTGACAGTCCCCGTGGGAAAAAAAATAGAAAAAAGCACAGGCTGGCATGGGCGTATGAAGGCAGGCAGTAGCCATTTTCCTGCTGAAGCCTGGAATCTGTGGGCCATGGTATTCTTTCAAAATGTGGCAAGAGTTCTAAGAGAGGCAGGAGAACGCAGTAGATAAGAAGACCGGCTCTGAAGCTGGATAGCCTGGCTGAACAAAGTGGGGCTGCTAGTTACATTCAAATATTAGCTATGCTACTAGTGATCTTGGGTAAAACTTTAACTTACCTGCCTCAGATCTCATCTGTGAAGTGGGAAGATAATAGTATTGGCCCTTAGAATAGTACCCACTGCATAGTAAGAAGTATCCATTCTTATTTACTATTACTGAGAGGCATATAGTGTAGTGGTTAGGGCAGAGTCTCTGACTGCTCAGCTTCATGTCCCAACTTCACCACTCAAGTAGCTGTGTGACCTGAGCAAGTCACTAGCATTTCTGTCTCCTCATCTACAAAGCAGGAACAACAGTAGTCTCTACCTAATGGGTTATGGGGGCTACATGAACCAATACAAGTAAGCCACTATATTAAATGTTGTTATGAAATTAGACAGCACTTGCCTAATTTGTAGGTTTGGCTGATCCCAAAGGGATATTTGTAAAATATTACTAGGTCCCTCTAAGAAAAGCATTGGATTAGGAATGAAAAGAACAAGATTCAACAGCCAGTTCTGCCACTTGCAGTGAGACCCTGAGCAAGTCATTTAACCCTCAGCTTCAGGCTCCGCAGAGAGAAGGTGGGAGAGCAATACTTCCTTGTCTAGTGAACTGAGCTTTTCACATGTGAACAAAATGCGAACAGCGCCTCCTGGAGTTGTGCAATACACAGTCATCCATGGGGGCACTGTCTTATCAAAGATGTGGAAAGATAACTGTGATGCAATCTTCATCCCTCACATAACAAACATGCCGACTTTAAGTCAGAACTTGTCGTGGGTGTGCTCTTGCCGGGACTCAGTTAACCTGGGCGTTGGCTCCTTGCTGCTCAGCTTGGCACAGGGAACATGCAGAAGCATCCCCACCCAACCCACGCTCTCACATGTCCTCATTCTTTCTGCCCCCACTTCCCATCCTGGTCAAAAATTCAGGTTTTGTATAATTGAGAGCAGAGATGGAGAGTCATGTTCTGAAATTCTGGTAAAGTTCCCTTAGAGAAAAAAGACAACAGAGAAAGGCTCTTACTTACCTGTGTAGACCTTATTGCTCTCATACGTGTTTGAACTGATCCTGATGCCTGGACCAGTGGTGGGGGAGACTGTGCTGAAGAACATGCATCTATCAGGGAAATCTGCGGAGCTGGCAGAGATGAGCAGTGTGCTAAGGCACAGGGACAGCAGTGTGGCGCCCAGGACTGCCATGGTTGTGATCTGTCTGGAAACGGCTGGGCCTGGAGCTGCTAAGACCTCACCTATTTATATGCTTCAGGGCTGGAGTTTCTGGGTGAGGTCATACATGCAAATTCCCCTCTCACCCGCTCCCTAATGTGAGCTGGCTTCTAGAATTTGTCACCACGATCCTTTATCAATTCCAGTTTTGCTCAAGAAAGGGCATGTACTGATCATGAATTTATTTTACATCTCATTCACCGCAGTACCTGCCATTTGAAAAAAGCTGCCGAGAAAGGTTTAGTGCTGGCAAACTGAAATTAGGGACGAGTAATCATCACATCTCTTAGAAGTTCCACTCTCCCCCCAGTAGGAAACTCAGGTACAAAACCCATCTTTTCTGGAATATTATATATCCATTTTCAACTCTGCTTAATTGAACATGTCTCCAATCTCAGCTCACTTTGTGACTAGCATACAACTAAAACATCGTGCTTCTGGATTTATTTATTTAATTATTTGGAAAGAAACAGAGTTGGCCCATGTTGCTCCTGGTACTTCCATCCATTACACCATAGAACAAGGCAACTACTAGAAAAATAAAATCAGAAAACATGTTTTTTCATATTTCTTTTCTGATGGTTAGAACTCGTTAAAAAAAAGTATCAATAAACTTGAAGATATTAAAATAAACTTAATAAAAGACACATAAGACTTATACACTGAAAACTATACCAAGGGACCCAAGATAGCCAAAACGATCTAAAAAAACCCCACCAATAAATAAGTTGGAGAACTCACACTTACCAATTTAAAAACTTACTACAAAGCTATAATAGTCAAGACGGTGTGGTATTGTTATAAGGGTAGAAGTACAGATTAATGTAATAGAGTTGAGAGTTCATAAATAAACCCATACATTTACTTTTTTAAATTATTTGATTGTTTGTTTTTGTTTTCAGATCGGGCTATCTTTCACCTAGTGAGTGTTACAATGTCTCTTTTATGTCAAGAGGAAATAATACTAAGAAATAGTGATCCATTAATTAAAAAACCCAAGAGCCACAGCATTTACCCACTGTTAGTAACAATGAAAACAGGCACATTTTAGTACATGCAAACAGCAGAGATGGTACTAAGAATTGAATTTATATAATCTTACTTAATTTTCACATCCTCTCCCTGCCAGATGGTAGGTTTTATGGTATTAGCCACATTTCAACGAGGAAGAAATGAAACTTAGGGAATTTAAATAACTTGTCAAAGTCACAGGCTAGGAAATGGACAGAGAAGGGATTTAAACCCCAATTCTTCAGAAGCCGGTGGTTATGCCTCCTAGTTAGACTGAATTCTTTTCTTTTCTTTCTTTTCTTTTTTTTTAAATTCTCTATAGTTGAAAATATTACATATGTCCCCTTTTCTCCCCACTGTCCTCTCCCAGCCCGCCCCCCACTCCCCCAGGCCTTCGCACCCCTATTGTCTGTGTCCATTGGCTATGTCCATCTGCATAGAAGTTCTTTTAAAGCTACACAGTTATGATCAATTGAATTTTCACAAGGGTGCCATGATAATTTGATGGAGTAAAGAACAGTCTTTTGAACAAATGGTGCTGTGGCAACTGGATATCCACATACAAAAGAATGACAATAGATCTCTACCTCACACCATATGAACTCAACATGGATCAAGGACCTAAATGTAAGAATTTAAACTATAAAACTCCTAGAAGAAAATATAGGTATAAATTTTCATGGCCTTGGATTAGGCAATAGTTTAATAGATATAATGCCTAAAGCAAAAGCACCCACAGAAAAAAATAGACAGGTTGGATTTTATCAATACTAAAAGCTTTTCTTCTTCAAAGGACACTACCAAGAAAGTGCAGACAACCCAAATAATGGGAAAAAATATTTTCAAACTATATGTTTGATTAGGACCTGGTATCTAGAATATATAAAGAATACTTACAACTCAACAATTAAAAGACAAATATCCCAAGAGAAACAAAGAAAAAATAAGCAAATGTGACTATTTCAGATTAAAAAGCTTTAAAAAATGGGCAAATGATTTGAATACTTGTCCAGCGAAGACATACATGGTCAATCTACACATGGAAATGTTCTCAACATCATTAGTCGTTAGGAAAGTGTAAGTCAAAATTACAAAGAGATACCAACCACAGCCTTCCGGGGAGCCATGGTAGAAATGACAGGAGGTGTTGGCAAGGACATGGTGAAATTGGAATCCCCATGTACTGCTGGTGGGAGCATATAATCATTAGGCCAACAGTTTGGCATTTCTTAAAAAAAAAAAAAAAGATTAACTATAGAGTTACTATTAGATGGCCCAGCAACTCCACTCCTAGGTGTATATACTCAAGAGAATTAAAAACACATGCCCACACAAAAACTTGTACATACAAGTTTTAGGAGCATTATTTAAAATAGTCAAGAAGTGGAAACAACCCAAATGCCCAACATCTGAATCGATAAAAAAGCGTGGCATTTCCATCCAATGGAAATTATTCAACTAGAAAATGGAACAAAGTGCTGATAGATGCTACAACATGGATGAACCTTAAAAACATGCTAAGCAAAGAAGCCAGGCACAAAAGGCTACATGCTACATGATTTCACTTATAAGAGATTTCCAGAGTAGGAATATTTGTAGACAGGAAGTGGTTGCCAGGGTAAAGAGAGAATGGGAGTGGCTGCTAATTGGTTTGGGGTTTCTTTCTGGTGTGATGGAAATGTTCTGGAATTATTTAGTAGTGATAGTTTCATAACCTTGTGAATATATTAAAAACACTGAATTGAATCTTACGGTTTGTGAATTATATCTCACTAAAAATCTTTCTTATATAATGCTCTGTAAGCAAGTTGGGATAGTACAAAGAATGCAGCAGAACTTGAGTATTAGATCTGGCTTAGAATCCAGGCTTTGGGAGAGTTTTAACCTATCTGAACTCTAGTCTCCACTTCTGAAAATTGGGGTATTAATAGCAATCTTACATCGTTTTATGTATATTAAGTGAGAAATACTTGTTAGCTGGTTTGAGGGTTGGGGTGGGTTGAACATATAGTAGGTTTATAACACAAGTTAATTAATTCCCCCCACCCCCTATTCTTTCCTCCTTAACTCCCTTCCTTCCTTGCTTTCTTAGTTTGTACCAGGTTCTGAGAATTCCAAGGTCAATCCCAAGGTGAATCCAGGGATACAAGTGTCAAAGGTGTGAGGGTTAGCAACATGGCCACCATGGCGACAAGTCCACAGGCTCTAGCAGGCAGAAGCCTCTGTCTGAATCCCACCGCTCATGCTGTGACCTTGGACTGTGCTTAACTAATCTGAGCCTCAGTTTTGGTATTCATCTTAAAAAAATAATAATGCCACCATTGCAGGATTGTGTCCAGATTTAAGTGATAATGCAGGCGACAGTAATTAGTGGTTCCTTCCCACCAATGGTGGGACACGGTGCAACTCTAGGAGGACGGGCTGGAGAGTGTTCACATTCATTCGTTTGCCCAGTGTGGATTCTTAAGTCAGCATGTGCAGATTTAGGGATTGATTAGGTTGTCCCCTTCAGCTCTGTGGTTCATAGCTGAACCTTAATGTGAATCCTTATGTTTTAGAGGAGAACCTAGTAGTCAGTTTTTTAGAAGATGTGCACCGTCCTCAGTCCCTGAGGCCTTATGCATTCTCAGAGAGATGGCATGTTATTACATGTGTAAAAGTTTTCAAGTTGAGCTGTCCCTAAGAGATCATTTTAATGGGATGAAACACTGAAAGATTAAACTTGCCTGAGGCTATAGACCCACTTAGCCGGGTCTCCTGCCTCCTGCCTCCTAGCTAGGTATGGTTCTCCACTGGACAGTTCTACTATTTAGTTAATACACACAAGCTAGATGTAGCATTTTAAAAAAATATTTTATTGATTTTTAACAGAGAGGAAGGGAGAGAGATAGAGAGTTAGAAACGTCGATGAGAGAGAAACATCGACCAGCTGCCTCTTGCACACCCCCTACCGGGAATGTGCCTGCAACCAATGTACATGCCCTTGACCGGAATCGAACCTGGGACCTTTCAGTCTGCAGACCGATGCTCTACCACTGAGCCAAACTGGTTTCGGTTCGATGTAGCATTTTATTTTATTTTATTATTTATTATTAGTTTGTTTGTTTTCAATGTAGTAGTTTAGATTCAAATGGGTCACATGTTAATTTTAATAGGCCATATGTATACTTCCTAGTACATTTGGGACTCTTGCCCAGTCAGTATATAGAACATGGGGAGAAGTTTACTATCACAGTAGTTATATCTTTGTTCAGGACTTTTGCTGATCATGTCTGTGACACATTTGATCCTAAAGTTTGTCAGGGCCACAGTCGAATGGCACAGTGCTCCTCCCACAGGGCCTTGCTTGTATGCAGTGGCCAGCGGGCTCGGTTGGGGGACACTGAGTAAGCCGCTCAGTGGTACACAGCATTAGGGAAAAATACCGCCTGCTGTATAGTCCATTGTCATCAGACTCCAGCCTGTAAGAGTCTTGACCAACTGCTCACAGGTCTTCATGGAATGAGAACAAATGGAGAGATTATAAAAGAGAAAGCAAACCTTTATCCAATGTAAAGGCCTGCCTTTTATTCTGATAGTACAGCTTTTTGAAAATTTATTTGTAAAATATCCTTTCTTTTATGAAATTATGGTCATTGTAGATTACAGATAATAGTTTCCTCCCAGCTGTTGATTTTTTAATGTCATCATTTGGGAAAATGAAACCCTGACACCCTCTAGTTTACTTTCCATCCAAACTCCTAGAAATGCTGTAGGTTGTGTGGCAGATTAGGTAGAGCTGGAGAGCTGATGCAGGAAAACCATTCAAGACCCCTTTCTAAGTGAGTGGGAGGTTGGTCTCTGAGCTCTCCTTCCAACGTTAGAACTCATGGTCCCCCGCAATTGGAAATTGATTCCATTCATTTTTAGACAGAAACAAGTGTTGAAGGCACTTGGGGCGTTAACGGAGAATATTAGTAGGT